GTGTCTTCACATCAGCCATATGTAAGTCTATAATGTTTAATTTCTCACATTCTTATAAAGACATTTTTACTTAAGAAAAAAAAAAGTTCAAAAGAAGTCCACTAACCTACAGCCATGCTTTGAGTAACGGCAGGGCAGTTGAGTAGGTTCTGTGCTCTGAGTCTGGCGTTGTTACTGTAACAGAATTAGGAACTGAATTACATTACTCTTCCAAATTATAGCAGTGCTGTGGATCTTGTTTGCAGGGTCCGGAGGAGATTATCTCCACCAGTCACACAAATTCATTACAAAAAAAAGAAGGTGGTTTCTATCAAAGCCACCAGCACATCATAACATTACTGTAATTACTGTATTACCCTTGATAAGTGTATAATAATTAATGAACAATTAAATCATAATAAATAATAACAGGAAAATAAGAGGTTTATATTCATCCCCACCCCCTTTGGCTGAGATGACTTGGCTGATCTTACTTTAAGTCACAGTTCAGACTTTTGTTTATCTAACATACTGTAGATCTAGACAGATCTGGGAGTCATTAAATGCATAGGATACAAAAATTTATGTCAGAATATAACTAACCCTAATAAAATAAGGTCAACTTGTGGCACGTAAAGGATCCAGACGGTGTCCCTTACCTCTCTGGGTTAACCATTGTTCTTTTATTTCAAGGATATTTACACCACAAGAGCCTGCAGTAAAAACATGACACAGGATGTGACTTTTTGCTGTCATCTAGTTAGTGATTAGTGCCTATGACTCATAAGAAGTCACATAGGAAAACATTTTTTTTTTAAAAACTTGCTGACAGATCAGTGCTGCAGCTGCAATGTTCAGCTAATAACACTAACATAACACATATACAGCACAGCTGATTATATAGATGTCAAATATCATTGTGTTACTCAGTAAATACTCACTAATTACTCAGTGGTACTCAGTAATTACACTATAATATTGTTCCCAAAAGGTCAAAAAATGATCATTAAAATTCCTTTATATTTAATTTCCCCATATATCAAATGAATGTGTCCCTTAGTTTGTTCAATCACATTTTGTTAGCAACCATCTCCTTTGGTGAGAAATCTTTTTTTCCAGTGGAACTGCCATAAACATATTGTATTTCCTACACCAGTTAATGTTATTGATATGGCAAGATTGGTTGATGGTTGGACAGATTGTACAGATTTCCTAGGATTTAGTTCCTCACTACACCACTGAAAGTTTCCCATTAGGCCTCATCCCTTCATGGTATTAATGACTCTATACCAGCTTCTACACAAAGATACCATTTTCCCAACATCATTTTAGACTTGGATAGCTGCACTTGGAAACATGGGATTATGTAGAAATCTTATGTAGAAGTTTTTTTGTTTTGTTTTGTTTTGTTTTTTTACTGTATCTGAGATTTAGGACTGTAACAGTCAAAAGGCGACAATGAAGTATAGGAGGTTCCTGTTTCATGATATGAAATGTGTGTAGGAGTGCTCTTAATTACGTGGAGGAAGGGTAGATAATCACACTGTCTCCCATTTCTCAGAAAGGGGAAGGATGCAAAACAGAACAACCTTTCAAAAATAGACAGAAGGGCTGGTTTTTACGTTTTAGAAACTGCTCATCTCCTTGGATTTTCACACACAACAGCCTCTAAATTTTACACATAAATGGTGCTAAAAAAAACATCCAGTGAGCAGCAGTTCTGTGTACTGTCTACAGTAACAGAAATAACTACTCTTCGTAAAATTAGTAAAGATGTCTAGAAATAGTCTTAATAACGTTCTACATTGTGTCATATCAGTATATCACAATCTCATTAGAAATATTTGATCATTTAAAATATGTTAACGTGCTATTATTTTTAGTGTCTTTTTTTTTTTAAAATAAACCATTTTAAACATCCACACAGCCTAAATTTTAACAACTGAATGGAATATACAGTATATTGGAATAAAACACTTTGTAAGCATGATCTCTGTAGATGGCCATCACATGTTCAGGATCTGAATTCCTCAAATATTTATCAAACTCCCAGGGGAGAGAACGGTTTCAGCTTGTTTTCTCATAAATAAAAGACTTTTAGAGGAGAAAAGATGTAGACTAATACATGTTTACGGTAAACAGTTACAGGTCCACAGTAAAATATACTTCTGTAATCTGGCATAAGCGTGTGAAATTTGATTATGTAAAATAAAGAGCAGATTCAGCAGCTCTTGGTGTACTTTAGCCCATTTTTCTGTACACATGGTTGTCTGGGGAACAAAGGCCTGGGAGAAAATCTGTCCTAAAAGACTCATGCTGCTGGTTTTATTACCAGATTTGCATATGTGTATTCAGTCATCGAGGACAATGAGATATCTGAAAGCTCATCAAGACTGTTTTGCTGTATTAGTTGTTAGCAAAAGTGATGAGGAGCTATGGGAATGTGGGGAAAGATATAATTCCAGTAACCAATATATTTCAGGATAACAAAAAGCATAATGAATCCCTGATTATGAGTCTAAACAAAGACAAAGATACTGAATAATGAGAATGATCTGAATAATCATTTAACACCACAATAAAACCCTTCTCCATGCTTATGCTGGGAAACAATTTATTAGTACATTAAGTACAAAACAAACGGTTATATAGAAAGATAAATCAAAGCCACATGTTTGTTAGGAAATGTATCCTCATACCTTTTGTAGGCAAGGTCTTTTTCCCATACTCATGCAGTTACGCGCTTTCATACGTATAGGAAATATGTCCTCAAACCATTTGTACGTGAGGTCTTTTTCCCATACTCATGCAGTTATGCACGTTCATATGTATAGGAAATATGTCCTCAAACCTTTTGTACGTGAGGTCTTTTTCCCATACTCATGCAGTTATGCACTTTCATACATATTTGTTGGAGCTTTTTATTCCTTGCGCTGAGCTTTAGAGTAAATCAGAGCTCAGAGAGTTAGCAGAAGATGTCAGTGTCAGTGCCTTAGAGATCCTGTGTGGAGATTCACACAGTGTCTTTGTGTGCTCTCCATTGTATATCCAGCAAATGTAATGTTGGCTTTCACTTTTACGCTGACAATAGAGAATTATATTTGTCATTTTGGCACGATTCACCAGCACAGCTGCACTAAATGAAAGGCTGGGGGGAAAAAAGCCATAAATGATGGGATGAATAAAAACTTCCTACCTCTGAATGGTAACAAAACTCCTGAAACACATCTTTAACTTGGCCTATTCTTAGTCTGAGGACTTATTTTGTCAAATTTTCATATTAAAAAATTTTCAGTTAATTCATTTGAGATTTACTTTGCTTCTTTAACACACCTTGTAATAAATTAGTTGTGTTAACCCAACAAATTAATTAGTTAATTTTTGTAAAACTGAGGATGGAATGAGGTATAACTTCAACAACTTTAACAAAATTGAAAACATAACCACTGTATTATTATTATATAACAAAAATGGTGCATCTATAACATCACTACAAACAATGCCCCTTTATTTTTAAGATTGTACTTATTTCTTGAAATTCAGTTAGGGATTCAGTTTTTTTATATTTATATTTTTACATTAAGAACAAATTCCTATTTACAACAGTGGCCTGCCTCTTGTTATGCACAGTGAAGGCCTAGTTTACTCCAGACAGAGTCTCGGTTACGTTGTTCTGGCCTGGTTTTGAGAGATTGGTGTGGAATTACAGAGCAGTTGCTCTGAATGGGACTGAATGAGGTGTACTATGTGCACTATGTGCACTCTCCTGCCCCTTTGGTCAGTTTCAGCTCACAGCTCAATAAGGGCTTTCAGTCCATGAACTTTACTCTCACTGGCTCTTACGTCAGAGAAGTTAGACTTATGTGGGTTAAACTTACCATTTTATGGCTCTTTGAGTGCATGTAATTGTGTCAGGGGTGTTTTAATGAGTCTAAGCATTGCCAGAGAATTTCTTTCTCTTTTTTTTTTGGTTGTTTAATCAACTCAAACAAAGACAACAGACTTCAAATAGTGTTAGGGACAGGCCACATCTCCTCCTCAAATAGTATCAAGTAAACTAAGTAATCAGGTAAAACATGATCTAAATGGTTCTTAGGTCCAAAATGGTCTCATATTATTACCATATAAATAGATATATGTAAGAATGAGTGGACCAATTCACTGACACAACATTATTACTTTATATGTGTTTACACTATAAACAATACCTTATTGCTACTAGTGCTGTTTCACAACATTTTAAGGATCACTAAGATTAACTAAGATGTGGAGATTTGCTCATTCAGCCACAAGAACATTAGTGAGGTCAGTGTAGTTGAGGTCAGGGCCACTTGAATTCTTTCACTTCAACCTTGGCAAACCATGTCTTTATGGACCTCACTTTGTCCAAAGGACTCATTGTTGTGCTAGAACATGTGGGTGTTAGTTCCAGTGAAGAGAAACTGTAATGCTACAGCATACAAAGTCATCGTTTGAGCAACAGTTTGGGGAAGATCCATGTGGTCAGGTGTCCACAAACTTTTGGCCATATAGTGTATATATACAGATATAAGAGAGAGAGGAATGTGATTGTGCACCAGCCAATGTCTTCTGGGAGTTTTCAGGGATAAAATGCTAACTGTAGTGTAGATGTTTGTCATATGTTCTCTTTCATATGACAGATGGTAGTCTGATTTTTAGTTCTTCTCTGACTAATCTCCCTCTCTACTTTTAGTGGATCTTTGGTGGGCATACCACATTCTGTCCATTTTTATGATGGATGAGCTGAATGAGCACAAACCCCCACAGCCACGCTCCAAAATCTAGTGGAAAGCCTTCCCAGAAGAGTGGAACTAAGCCGAACTAAGTCTGGAATGGGATGTTTAAAAAGCACAAGTGTGATGGTCAGGTGTCCACAAAACTTTTGGGAGTATAGTGTACCTAGACACACACATATCTCATATTATACTTTATTTTCATTTTATTTTATAATATTTTTTTTAAAAAACTTTTTTTTGCTTTACCTGTCCATTGACTAGGGGTCCTTGGAGGACTAGTGGTTAGGCCACGGTGTTCTCACCACTGGGGCCTGGGTTTGATTCCCAGCCAGGGAACTGACCCCAGCCACCAGGGTTGCACATGACAGTGCACTCCCAGTGCCGGTCCCAAGCCAGGATAAAATTGGGGAGGGTTGCATCAGGAAGGGATCTGACATTAAAAAAAAAAAATGTGCCAAATCAAATATGCAGACCAATGATCCATTGTTGTGACCCAAAACAAGAGCAGCTGAAAGAAGAACAACCTGTCTAATCGACTGCTTTGTTATAATTTAGTCTATGGAAAGTCAGATTGCTTGTATGGGACATCTTACCTGGCCAATACAATTGGTTGTTGTTATTATAATAATAATTATTATTATAATAATGATGATGATGATGATGATGATGATTAGTAGTAGCAGTAGTAGTAGTACATGTTGTTATGCACGTGCAAAAGCATGTAAGGTTATGCAGTTCACAGTCCACGTGTCCTGCCCATAATTATTATAGGTGACAGGGCGCAAGTAAACAGGAAGGCCCTCATAAGGTGTCACTGTTTCGGATGTGCGGAAATTACCGAGCATCCCCGCGCGCGCAGGCAGTTGGTTCATTCCGTCACAGTAAAAAAAGAAAGGGCGTGCTCACAGGGGCGTGCTCGCGCTACTTTCGGTTTCGTGTTGTCACGCCAGCTGAGTACTCAGCGCAGATTTCTGACTCCAGCAGCTGGGTTCGGCTTATTTTCCGTCCCACACACACACACTCTCTCTCACACACACACACACACACACACAGCCAAAACTCCGGGCAGAGCGGCTGCGTGTTTGTGCTGCTTTCTCACGCGTCTCTTCACGCAGCTCATCTGCGACTCTTCCTACAATGAATGCAAGCTTTTGGACTTTGTGTCTGACATTTCTGACCATGCACGATTTGTGCAAATGTCTTCCCAGGATATATTACATCGGGATTCGTGAGGTGGACTGGAATTACGCACCGAGCGGACGGAATCTGATCAATGGCCTGCAGATCGAACACGACGAGTAAGTTCAGCAGAATAGGATTAAAATGTCAATAGACATCTTTGCACATCTCAAATGTTGTTTTTTTTTTATTAGTACACAAACCAGAGATTTCATGTTCATGTTGCACATGTTGCATGTTGTTTGGCGTAAACAAGACAGTTACATAAAGTGTAAGCTATAGATAGTGATGATTTCATACATGCTTCTTCATTATCACAAGTAACCAAAACAGTAAAAACATACAACAACAACAACAACAACAATCCTTCTCTGAGTGTGATGAGTGTGATGAGTGTAAATGTTCTCCTACATGCATGTGCTTGCATGTCTTTAACCATCTCTGATCTTCTGTTTATCTTCAGTTCAGTTCTCTTGGCACAGCACCTTTAAACCACACACACTGTCACAAAGCAGGTTTACAGAAATCCAAATGTAGAGTTATATCTAGTCCTCTGATGACATGTCAGAACATTTCCTGACGTGCAGTGAGGAAGAAATCTTGAGAGAAGCCAGAAATAGAATCCACCCTCTTCTGGGTGACAATGGGTAACGGAATTATGAATCAGTACTCTGTGGATTTGTGTTTACAGGAGAGGTTTAGGTTTAGGTACAAATCTGCAGTATGGACATAAGATTATCCACTTAAGAAGCAGTGAACTGTTTTTGGGAAGCGTAATCTTTATAGTACCCATGTGGGACAATCCACAACAACAGAACATGAGCCAAACGTGCAGGAGCTCTAAGAGGAAGAAGTGTCATGATGAACAGGCAGTATCTCTGAACAGCTTGTCAGCTCAGTTATAATGTTGGCTCTCAATTGTAAAATCAGATAAGTTCTTACTTTTCCAGCGGCATCCGCTGCCTTGTAACCATGACAGTGTTATGATAAAGCTATGACTTCCTGTTTTTGGTTTGCCCAACATTTTAGCTTCTTATCAGATGGCAGGATGTAGCCAACATTGTACGTTATGAAGCCCAGCTTAAAATATGTGTGTGTTTAAGCATTTGACTTGGTGTTGGCTGAAAACAACATGACATTAAAGGTGCAGTTAGTAACATTTAAGTTTCTAAATCTGTAAGAACTGTGTCATTTCAACAATACCTTAGAAACAGGGATTCGCGCCGTGCAGTAATACTTTCTTATAGCGCGTTATTGTTTCTATAGTAACAGTTGATTCACAGAGACTTGTATGCTGAATGCTTCACATCATCTAAAATTAATACTAAACCTTAAAAAATGAGTTGTTATTGAACAAAGAAAACATATAATGGTGATGTTTTCTGTACAAAGATATTTATTTAACATTTATGGAAGGAGTCTTCGGTGTTAGCGCTTTGTAACAGTCAGTTAGTTTTCCACCATGGGAAAGTCTTCAGGACAGAGGACTGTGCATTTCTATTTCTGCTTCTTATTAACTTCAAGAGAGAGAAAAACGGAGTCTGGTTAGGGAGCAACTCTTTATAACTGTCATAACATAAGTGAAAACAGGAACTAACTTCTACAACATTAAATGTAACTATAAACAGTTAAAAAGCATGACAGCAGCATCATCCATTAATACATTTAAAATTGTAGCTTTTGACAAATTCCTGTGGAATAAGCAGAACAAAAGACTTCAGGATATGCGGTTATAAGAAAATAATCCATCACCCTGTAACGGATTATTTTCCATAACAGAGCGAGTGTTTGTGATGAATTCCTTACTTCATGTAGGGATCACGTTTACATTTTTCCAACCTGGAAAATAGCCCCGCCCACAGAGCTACTTAGCTTTTCCTATCATTCTTAAGACCACCCCTGAGGCATCTTGTGGTCTGTAATTCTGACTGGGACTAGATATTTGACACAATAGGAGAAATTCAAAACATGGATGTCGGTACAATAAACCACAGATTTGTTTACATGTGAATACAAAACAGCGAATGGATTTGAATACAAAGCGGTGTTTCCTTCATTCCAGAGCTGTGTGGCATTGTTATAAATAATCCTTAACCCCATGCCACCTTGAAGTTTTAGGTGTGTGGCTGTAGACTGGTTGATTAGGCGACACTTTCCATGGCCAGGACCCTGACTGTAGCCTTTTTTTGAGAACAATGAGGGGTCATTTACCTCTGAAACAGCATTATGTTCTGCTACAATCTTTTGAAAAAGTGAGTTTGTGAGGAGAAAGAGAAAATGGCTTCGCATTAGAATAGAGCAAGGTTTTGTGAGCACTTTAAGTATCATGATACATTTGTAAAACACTCAAGTGCTATCAGAGTGGTGTCAGGTTCTCTGAGTATATCTCTTATTAACAGGCACTTGGCTCACTTTCAGCTGACAGTGGTAAGGGATGTGATTAACTATAAAAACGTGCAGGGATGGATTCTGAGAAGCCAAACCTTTTTTGGCTGGAGTTGATCATAATCTATTCGTGCCTTCTTTCACAGTTAAGCCCTCCCTTGCCACTGTGTCAGTGCAGTTTCTGGTTTATGCTACACAGGAAAAACCCATTAAGCTATTCTAGAGTGCTTTATTCTTTTTCATTGACTAACGTCATCATTTTGATTGATCATTACTTTAAAATATTTGCTGCAATGCCACTTATTCTTGCCTTGTTGCTGTTGCTAAGTCTCCACCATTGTGATTTCTAATGGTTTTGTGCACTACTGTGTTTGTCTTTTTTATTACTTTACCAGTGTAAGGCATCTTTAGATACCAGCATATAGCATTTGGTTTAATTTGATTTCCCAATGTGATTATTTTAGTCAGTTGCTTTAAATTCCTACAGTAAAATCACTATTTCTTTATTATGTCAAAAGTCTAATACACTCCTGTCTGATATTTTTTTTACTACTTATATGAAAAAAAAACATTTGCATGTCTTAAAATTGACTTTATGTAAATTGATTGATGGATTTAAAGACTTTGGCTTGTAATTAGTGTAAAATCCTTAAATACAACCACTGCATTTTTGTGTTATGTGCATAGACTAATTTCTGATATATTTCAGTTTTATGGACTATGTATAAAACTGGCCATTTTATAATACCATAGACATGACGAATCAGCCAATTATTTTAAATTTACATAATCTGATGTAACACACTCTCAATTTAATTTATAACTTATGGACCGCTTTGGCTAGTTACTTAGCCGATGATAACTAGGACTGGTAAGAATGAAATTTTTCTTCCTTCCTATCAACAAAAAAGTGTATCTCTGCAAAAAACACACCTAGTATGCAAGCAGCCTTATGTGCAATAACCATTTTATAATCACGACTGTTATCAAACTAAGAAATGCAAAAGGGACACTGACTTGCCATTAAGAGACATTTTCATCTGCAATGAAATAAAACTCCCAGATTAGTGATGGCCAGCACATTTATAACTACTTTTTCTCCTTTTTTGTTACTCTTCTCACCTCTAAAGGCATGCCTCTACATTTCTGGACAGAAGTCCATCCCGGATTGGTAGTGTATACAAAAAAGCCGTGTATAAGCAGTACACAGATGAGACTTTTTCTACTGAGGTCCCTAAACCAGACTGGCTGGGATTCCTTGGACCCGTGATCCGTGCAGAAGTGGGTGATGACATCGTGGTACACATGAAGAACTTTGCATCTCGACCTTATTCAGTCCATCCTCATGGAGTCTTCTACGAGAAGGATTCTGAAGGTACGACTGGTCTCTCTTGTTGCTTTTTAGCAGGGATCTGTGCTTTGTCATCTACAACGTCTCCTCAAGTGTGGGAGCTGTGGAATTGACATAAATTATGATGTGAAATCATCTGCATACACACATACACAAGTATGAAGTTTGAGATTTTGTTTTTGGGGACTAGAGATCAAGCCATGACCTGTGCTTTAGGAGAAAATGTAATGTGATGTCACTCTTATTTTGAAGAACATTAATCCACCAAAGCTGAAAAAAAAATCATGTTTCTCACAAAGTACCACTGTTGTTAAAAATTAGTACATTTGCAAGGGATTGCAGAGGAGGATATTTCAGCAATATGCCTGTGGTCTGGTGTTATATTGCATAGTGAATGGTTTATTTTGAAACTGAGCTGCAG